TTCAGCTCCAACCCTAATCAAACACACCTGAACAAGCTAATCAATGTCTTCAGGATTACTAAGGCTATAGGCAGGTGAGTTTTGTTTTCAGGGTTGGAGCTGAACTCTGCAGGACTGCGGCTCTCTAGGACCGAACTTGCCTACCCCTGGTGTAGGGCAATAGAATATACGGTCTCTACAGTAGAAAAACCATTACGCCTATGGGATGTCCCCACTTTTCACAAAAACAAACCTGTGTGTGTGTGTGTGTGTGCGTCATGTTAATCAGACTAATCACCTTATAGGCTCAATTTTCGAACTCAATAGCTCTCAAATGTAACCCGCTGTAGAATCGCTGCTATCTCTTTATGAATGAATGGAATATTCATGCCAGACAATATGGAGTGATAAATAGCAGTGGCCGCTCAGACTAGGGTTGTCCTGGGATTTTACTATAGTGCTATAGGCTACATGCTGTGTATAGTGAGAGAGGCGGGCAAGGGTAACCTGATGTAACTGTTCACTTTTTTTCCTTTTAGCTTCTCCCAACCACCTTTATCTTCACATCTTTTGCTTGCCATCACGAGCTCACTCTCCTTCGCGTCAGTTTTGGTTTCTTATAAGCAAAAATAGATTGCATTAGCGCCCCCTTTTGTCGGCCGTCAATGTCACTTAATCTGACACTTTTTCTTTGATGATGAACCGGCCAGGTTCCACCGTCAGATGGACTTCTCCAGAACGTCCTGATGGCCAGTCCGCCCCTGCTATAAGGGATACAGCTATGGCCAGAAAACAACAATAAATTAAATTTGCTACCTATTAGATTGTGCTTTATTAACGTTTACACCTACCCCAACCCAATACATAACCTTACAATAATGCAAATACAGTAATAAACTGTGATGCAATATTGATGTGCACATGCCCAGCAGGACAATCTGGCTGTAGCTGTATCTCATCTAGCCTTAACCCCGCAGCCAGAAAAGAGCCAAGATGGTGCCACGCATGGCTGCCTCGGTTTGTAGCTCATATTTTGTTTGTTTGTCCAACAGCGTGGTTTTAGGGCTCTAAATCTAGCGAATCTCCGCTCCTTAGCAAATAAATCAGACGAACTACTACTCCTCACCCGCACAAACAAGGACTTTTTAAACTCTGCTGCGCTTTGCTTCACGGAAACCTGGTTGACTGGAGCCATCCCGGACAGCGCGTTACATCTAATGGGCTTCCAGCTGTTTCAGAGCGGACCGCGTCACTGAGTCGTCGGGGAAAACGAGAGGCGGTGGATTTTGTTTTTATATCAATGAAGGCAGATGTGACAGTTTTGAAGAAGATGTGCTGCCCAAATTTGGAAGCTCTCTTTATTAACTGTAAGCCTTTTTATTTGCCACGGGAGTTTTCCTCGTTTATTCTGGTGAGTGCGTACATTCCTCCTGACGCGTGTGTGAGCGCGGCGCTACAACAGCTGGCTCATCAGAACACACACACAGAGCAGTGTTATCCAGACTCTTTCATTATCATTCTCTGATTTTAATAAAGCTGATCTCACCCTCGAACACCAGAGACAGCAATACACTGGTCCATTGCCTCAGTTTTAAAGGATGCATACACACTCTGTCCCCCAGGGACTCTCTGATCACTGTTTGGTTCATCTTCTTCCAGCCTACAAGCAGAAACTTAAATCTGCTAAACCTGTAGTAGGGCTGGGCGATATGGAAAAAAAATGACATCTCGATTTTTTTCACGTTTGACCGATTCTCGATTTTTAACAAGTCAACTTGAAAATGTTACTACAATATGATTCAAGTAACTTTTTCTTTATTAACCCTCTAGTTAAAGAAATGTATATTCCAAGTGCACCACACATGATGTAAATGTTAAACAAATCACTTGTTAAATATCTTTGCAAAAAAGATGCATGAACTACAACTACATCTTGTACTAACTTGTCTTATACATATTTTATGTTCAGAAATAATACAAGGAAAATGCTTTAAAATTCAAGGTAATTCAAATTCAGAATGTCTGAAGGTAAAACACCAGTAGACTATTATTAACTATAAATGTTCTGTAAAAACAATGAACAGCCGCTTTCAGCCGGTCACCATGATGCAAACATGAAATATTAGACATACAGTAGTAGTCCTTTACAGATTTTTATCTCATGCATAAAACGGCATTCTAAAAACACGGCGCTGTTTAGATTACTAATCATTGGGGATTTTAATATTCATTTTTGTTGTCCTTCGAAACCATTAGTCAAGGAATCTGTAACTCTTTTAGAATCACTGAATATTGAACAATATATATGTGGCCCAACTCATAATTTGGGTCATACACTTGACTTGGTGTTGTCCCGTGGCCTTTTGATCTTGTTAAATATCTTTGCAAAAAAGATGCATGAACTACAACTACATCTTGTACTAACTTGTCTTATACATATTTTATGTTCAGAAATAATACAAGGAAAATGCTTTAAAATTCAAGGTAATTCAAATTCAGAATGTCTGAAGGTAAAACACCAGTAGACTATTATTAACTATAAATGTTCTGTAAAAACAATGAACAGCCGCTTTCAGCCGGTCACCATGATGCAAACATGAAATATTAGACATACAGTAGTAGTCCTTTACAGATTTTTATCTCATGCATAAAACGGCATTCTAAAAACACGGCGCTGTTTAGATTACTAATCATTGGGGATTTTAATATTCATTTTTGTTGTCCTTCGAAACCATTAGTCAAGGAATCTGTAACTCTTTTAGAATCACTGAATATTGAACAATATATATGTGGCCCAACTCATAATTTGGGTCATACACTTGACTTGGTGTTGTCCCGTGGCCTTTTGATCTCAAACATGGAGGTTATTGAGGCATGTGTGTCTGATCATTATCCAGTTTTGTTTGAATCTGAATGCTTTTCTCCATCACCTACTTTCGGTCAGCATTCACATTTGTCTAGAGTTATTAATTATAACACTGCAAATTTGTTTTCTGAATATTATTCTTTAAATGTTACCAATGATATCCTTAATGAAACTGATACTAAAAGTTTGAAAGCTTGCTCTACATTTTTGGACACTGTTGCTCCGTTTAAGAATAAAAGGGTAAAGGGTGTTGGCCAGCCATGGTTAAATGAAACCACCCGCGCTCTTAGACAAGAGTGTCGAAAAGCAGAGCGAAAGTGGAAAAAAGATAAGCTACATGTTTCCTTTGATATCTTAAAATTAAGTCTCTCTAATTATCAAATAGCAGTAAAACATGCTAAATCTAGTGATTTATCTCAGTTAATTGCTGATAATGTGAATAGACCAAAAGCTTTGTTTAATATGACTGATTCTTTTTTAAACCCAACTATGAATTTATTATCTGAGGCCTTCTCAGAGCTTTGTGAGGATTTTTTAAAACAATTTTACTCAAAATACTGATGCTATCAGAACCTCCATTGCTCCTTCTGAATCACTTAATTTGCAATTGCCTTGTACCACAAGTTGTTTGTCTTCCTTTCAACCTGTTTTATCACATCAGCTAGATGATATTGTCTCTACTATGAAGTGTTCTGGTTCTAAGTTAGATATTATTCCTGCACGTCTTTTTAAGGATGTTTTTCCTACTATTAGTCCTATTGTTACAGCTATAGTGAACAGCTCTTTAGCCAAAGGTGTTGTTCCAGCCAGTTTTAAACATGCAGTTGTGTAACCTCTGCTGAAAAAACCTCAGCTTGACCCAGCAATGTGCTGTAACTATCTGACAATTTCTAAGTTGCCTTTTATCAGCAAGCTTTTGGAGAAAGTAGTGTTTTTACAACTTCAGTCTTTTTTGGATTCTTTAGTGTTTTAGATGAGTTTGGTTTTAGATCATTACACAGTACTGAGTCAGCTCTATTGAGAGTTACAAATGAAATGCTGCTTTCTCTGGATTCAGATGCGTGTGTTGTGTTGCTATTTTTGGACCTGAGCGCGGCATTTGACACCATTGACCATAGCATTCTTCTTGAGGTATTCGAGGCACTGCATTAAAGTGGTTTGCCTCGTATCTCGAGAACAGGACTTTTTCTGTCAATTTAGGACATTTGTTCTCATCCTCTGAACCTGTCTTGTGTGGAGTGCCCCAGGGATCAATTTTGGGACCTTTACTGTTTTCCCTTTATATGGTTCCCTTGGCCCACATTTTTCAAAAATACAGTATTTCATATCATTGTTACGCGGATGATTCTCAGTTTTATCTTCCAGTAAGGCTTGATACTGCTGTTTCATTTGATGTATTATTGAAATGTGTACATGATATTAAGACATGGATGTCTAATAATTTCCTGCAGTTAAATGAGGATAAAACCGAGGTTTTAATATTAGGTTGTCCTGCACACTCGTCTCCTGCTTTGGAAGCTCAGTTAGGTCCCCTTTCAACTAATGTACGCAAACAAATCAAAAACCTTGGAGTGATTTTTGACAAACAAATTAGTGCTGGTATTAGAGCATTTTTTTCTGCAAAGTTGAAGCATCTTCTTTCAAGGAAGGATATGGAAGTTGTGATTCATGCACTTGTTACATCTCGATTGGATTATTGTAACTCTCTTTATTCTCTTTAATAATAATACTATTATTATTATTGTTATTTATTTTTTGTTTTTTTTCCTTAGTCTTACTTATTTAATTGTTCTTTCTGTTCTCATGTCATATATGTATGTATTTATGTATGTATGTTTGTACCAAAAGCTCCTAAAAAAAAACACAAGTATAGTATAGTATTATTTCAGTAACACTCACCTGGAGACGGGTGTGACGTAGTTTCCTGGGAAAACTCCAGACGCTCCGGAGCGCAGCGACGTGCCTTTGAACCAGCCGTCCTGACACTTCTCCATCACGCGGTACATCTCGCCCTTCCGCAGCTCCAGCTCATCCGCCTTCTGTGGTTTGTAAGCGTACATGGCCAGATATCTGCAGAGATGAAGAGAAAGATTGATGAGCGACGCGTGTTCTTGATGCAGTGTGTGTGTGTGTGTGTGAAGACTTGATCAGCTCTGACAGCAGCATTTTATTACATCGAGTCCAGAGTCTGTTATTAAAACACTGAGCGATTTCATTACAGCCGCATCAATCACAGGAAGAGCAGAAGAACAGAGCGGCTCAAAATATAGACCACTGACCTACTGATGGCCACAACACAGAAGAAAAATAAAAAACATAGAAATAAGTTATTTTAAGTTGTTCTAAATGTGAAGTCCAGGTCTGCGTGGAGCAGCAGGAATAACAGTGACGGTTCAGCGCTGCATTAAATCATCATGACTCACATGTTGAGAGGCAGCTGGACTTTAGCCGCGGCGAGCAGCTCTCCGGTTGTTGACGTGACACGCGGTGGAACTAAAGCTGCTGCATTTGCTGCGACTGAAGAGTCCTGTGAAGACAACGGATCAGACATATATATATATATATATATATATATATATGTATGTATACATGGAATAAACAAAACAAGTAATACAATCATTCCAAATATCACGTGGCACACTTCACCTTTAAACTGAACTGACCGTTCTGAGTGTGTCTCTAATGGGCTCCTGCAGCTGAGGACAGGATGCATTATGGGAGTTGTAAACACACATGATCCGTCTGTTTCACTCAGGCAAAACTCCAGAGATTCACCCTCACGGGTTCTCATGTTGACCTTTGACCTCTAATGGAGCCCAACACTCTTACTGGAACCAACCAGCTGAGCCCAGGTCAGAGGTCAAGAGGCCTATAACTCTAATATATATATACAGTGGGGCAAAAAAGTATTTAGTCAGCCACCAATTGTGCAAGTTCTCCCACTTAAAAAGATGAGAGAGGCCTGTAATTTTCATCATAGGTATACCTCAACTATGAGAGACAAAATGAGAAAAAAAATCCAGAAAATCACATTGTAGGATTTTTAAAGAATTAATTGGTAAAGTCCTCGGTAAAATAAGTATTTGGTCACCTACAAACAAGCAAGATTTCTGGCCCTCACAGACCTGTAACTTCTTCTTTAAGAGACTCCTCTGTCCTCCACTCGTTACCTGTATTAATGGCATCTGTTTGAACTCATTATCAGTATAAAAGACACCTGTCCACAACCACAACCAGTCACACTCCAAACTCCACCATGGCCAAGACCAAAGAGCTGTCAAAGAACACCAGAAACAAAATTGTAGACCTGCACCAGGCTGGGAAGACTGAATCTGCAATAGGTAAGCAGCTTGGTGTGAAGAAATCAACTGTGGGAATGAATCAATCATTTATTATAGTCAAATAGATTCAACATATTTCATAAATGAAGAAAAATACAGTAAAAATCAAGTTCAAATAATCAAGGCATATGTTTATGCTGTTTTTCAATAAATAAATAATTAGTTTTATTTCAGTATCATTGACATATTAATAAAGTTGTTTCTAATATATATAAATACATATATATACAGTATATATGTATATATATATAATTAATAAAATATTTTTTTAATATATATTTCCCTTCATTTTTAGCTAAAGTTTTAGTAATATTGTTTACAAAAGTCATACACAGCAATATTGACCTACATATATATACAGTATATATATATATATATATATATTACCAAAACAATACACACACACACACTCTCACTCACACACACACACTCACACACTCTCACACACACACACACACTCACACTCACTCACTCACTCACACACACTCTCACACTCACACTCTCACACACACACACACACACACTCACACTCACTCACTCACTCACACACACTCTCACACTCACACTCTCACACACACACACACACACACTCACACTCACTCACTCACTCACACACACTCTCACACTCACACTCTCACACACACACACACACACACTCACACTCACTCACTCACTCACACACACTCTCACACTCACACTCTCACACACACACACACACACACTCACACTCACTCACTCACTCACACACACTCTCACACTCACACTCTCACACACACACACACACACACTCACACTCACTCACTCACTCACACACACTCTCACACTCACACTCTCACACACACACACACACACACTCACACTCACTCACTCACTCACACACACTCTCACACTCACACTCTCACACACACACACACACACACTCACACTCACTCACTCACTCACACACACTCTCACACTCACACTCTCACACACACACACACACACACTCACACTCACTCACTCACTCACACACACTCTCACACTCACACTCTCACACACACACACACACACACTCACACACTCTCACACACACACACACACATATATATATATATATGGAGATTTCAGTAATTTTTGAGTAATGATGTGAATGAATCATTCAATCAGAGTCATTTGATTTGATTGACTTAAAAGGACAGTTTAAACTGAATCACGTAAATGAATCAAACTTGTTATCAAATCATCTGAACACACTCATAGTCACGAGACGAGGACAACTCGTGAAACTAGTCCAATCTTTCATGGGCCAGTAAAAGATTTAAAATCATTGTGAGTCAAACACACTTGATGCTGAAACTGAACTGAATCAACAACACAGCCGCGGCTCTCAGAGAATCACATCAATCAGCCAAATGTTCGTCTGCGCAGCTGAACTGAACGAATCACAACAACAGGATCTGAATGGAGACATCAGGCCCTCAGGAGACGCTCATTAGAGCCGTTCAGATTCATTAGAGACGCAGGAGAGGGTGAAGAGTCGAACAGCAACACACAGAAACGACCGTAACAACAAATCAAATAACATACAGATTCATCTTTACCACTGCAGCGAATGAATGAATGAATCAGTCTGACAGCAGCTCAAAACTAAAGACTCCAAACAGAGTTGAGACTGTTCAGACAGAATTCAATTTGTTCCCCTTTAATTATTAGTTATTTGATTATTATTCATTATTTTTGTTTTAATTCTTAAATTGAATTTCAGAATTCAAAAAGCATACCTAAGTAATTACAACCATGAAACTTGTTAAATTTAACAAATTTAAAAAAGTGTAACAAAAATTGAATTTTTAGGGCCCCAAATTAATTTAGCTTCTTCCCAAATTCTGTTTTTTAATTAATTTTTTCTGTTTAAATTTTTCTGGATTCCATTTTAATGGTTAAATAAAATTTTAGTTCAGTTTAACATACCTAATTAGTTGCAATCGTGAAACTTTATTCAATTTAGCAACAATTTATTCAATGATGTTTGACAAAACTTGCATCTTTTAAGGCTCCATGAAATTTATTTTCATTTTTTTAGGTTTATTTTTTCCTAAATTATGTGTTTTAATTTTTCTGGATTCTGTTTTAATTCTTAAATTGAATTTCAGAATTCAAAAAGCATGCCTAAGTAATTACAGTCATGAAACTTATCAAATGTAGCAATTTATAAAACGTTTTTTAAAAATTGCATTTGTAGGGCCCTATTAAATGAATTTTGCTTTTTCAAAAAAATTCTGTTTTTTAATTCATTTTTTTCTGTTTAAATTTTTCTGGATTCCATTTTAATTGTTCTGGATTTGTGTGTGTGGGGGGGGGGGGGGGGGTCAAATTAAATTCTGGATTTGTGTGTGGTGGGGGGGGGGAGGGGTTAAATTAAATTTTAGTTCAGTTTAACATACCTAATTAGTTGCAATCGTGAAACTTTATTCATTTTCTTTATTCATTCAATGTGTGTGTGTATGTTCATGTATTTGTTTGATGTTTGCCTGATTGTTGGTCTGTTGCATTTCTATTGTACATCATAGCTTAATAGTACTTTTTACTAAATGTATTGTAATTGTTTTATTGTTATGTTAATATGTAATTTTATTTTCTTTTAGGGTGACTATTACCATCTGTCTAGGGACTGCAGGTGAAAAATAGCCTTCTGGCTAATTCTGGCATATTGACAGAAATGTTTATTAATATGCATTGTCCCTGTAATAAATAAATAAATAAATAAATAAATAAATTTTAGCAACAATTTATTCAATGATGTTTGACAAAACTTGCATCTTTTAAGGCTCCATGAAATTCATTTTATTTTTTCCCACATTCTGTTTTATTTTTTCCTAAATTCTGTGTTTTAATTTTTCTGGATTCTGTTTGAATTAACTTATAATAATCAAAAAGCAAATGAATTCATAACCTGAATATTTTTCTGGATTTATGATTTAATGCAAATTTATTATCAGTAATCAAGTACAATGAAGGAAAAAAACACGAACAATTTAATCAATATTTTAAAATGTACTCTAATGTAAGTGTCTGCTTCATTGTCTTTGTCTGTACCTGTGTGGCCGGTGCGGTGGAGGACAGGTGTGTGTGTCTGTACCTGTGTGGCCGGGGCGCTGAAGGACAGGTGTGTGTGTCTGTACCTGTGTGGCCGGTGCGCTGGAGGACAGGTGTGGGCAGTCTGCGATGCGAGCGGCGGCGCGGGGGTCCGAGGAGCTGATGAGCACAGGTGCGCTGATCTCCATCGAGTGCCGGTTGTTCCCCAGCACCTGCGCCGAGCGCTGCGTCATGCTGAGCGCTGTGAACGAGTGCCGCTTCTTGGCATTCTTCTTCCCCTCGGCGTGTCTGTGCACGGCGTTCCCGTTACAGCTGATGGCGGCGGGAGACTCTGCGCTCGGACCCGGGGCCGCGGACAGTTTGTCCATCTCCATCAGCTGCTTCGCCGTTTCATTCAGCTGAGGACAAACACAGGAATCCACACAGTTATTATTTTACACTTACATCAATAGTCTCTTCTGCTCAGTTGTGCTGCCAAATATTTTTGCGGAAACTGTGATACACTCAAAAGAAATTAATACTTCAAGGCTGCATTAAATTGATCAAAAGTGCCAGTAAAGACATTTATAATGTTATAAAACATTTCTATTTCAAATAAATGTTGTTCTTTTTAACTTTCTGTTCATCTGTGAATCCTGAAAAATAAAATATATCACGGTTTCCACAAAAATATTGTGCAGCACAACTGTTTTCAACATTGATGATAATCAGAAATGTTTCTCGAGCAGCAGAGCAGCATATTATACTGATTTCTGAAGATCATGTGACACTGAAGACTGGAGGAATGATGCTGAAAATACATTTTGTGACATCATTTTGGTGGGAAACTGACATCAGTAGGTATCACTGGAGTTGATGAATTCTGTGATGTTTTGCTTCCCTTAAAACAACAGAAATCATTTTGACAGATTGTCCTACTATAATAATGAAAGCAGTATGCAAATGTTTTTATGTAAACTGACTAAACTGATGTTTTGATGAATAGAAACACAAACAAAAGCAGACGTGATGGTGTGCAGCGAACAAACAGATCAAAAGTGACTGGAGCCCTTTGTTTCAACTCACAGTCCTGCATTCATAAATATGCTAATAATATGCAAATAGCATGCAAATGAGGCTGATTGATGGACCCCACAGACGTGGCGCGGGTCTCTGCGGACGAACACCGAGGCCTTCTGAAGGTCATAATATTATTACTCTGACATGAGGTGGTCAGAGCAAATTAATTGCATGCATAATGCGCGTGCGGACACGTTACAACGGATCTGACATCACAATCAGTTTAAGACAAAGACCAGGAAATAACGAGCACTGACATCACACGTGTATTTGTGGAAATAACCGTAATGATCGTGTGATTAGTGACGTGATTGTTGTTTCTGGCAGGTCACGTTACTCCCGTTCACCGGTTCGTTAGGATCCCGGCGCGCGGGAGCTCGTTAGCACAGCCGTGAACTTTGAAATGTTGTTAATATAGGTCAAGCTCTGGCTTCAGTCGCGCGGGGAAGTGAGAGTTCAGACGCCTCGCCGCGTGAAGGGTGCTGCTAATTGTGCTAATAATAGAGCCCATCACTGCGGTGTAATTACAGCACGGGAAGACCACAAAAAGAAAATCACAAAGCGGCAAATGTGCAGCGGAATAATGACAGGCTGTCAGACACGTACAGAAATAACTCGTAGCGTGAGCCGCACGAGCACGATCTGAGGGAATAAAGCCTGCGCTATCAACAGCTATTGTGTCAAGTCTGTTTTAACATGTAGACTTCATGTGAATCTGTGCATGAGAGCGTGTGTGTGTGTATATGTGAGTGGATAAGTGTGCATGAGTATGCATATGTGTGTGTATGTGTGTGTGTGTATGTGCACGTAAGTGTGCATGTGTGTGTATAAGTGTGAGTGTATAAGTGCAAGTGAGTGTGTGTATATACAGTATGTGTGCGCATCTGTGTGAGTTTGTATAATTGCACGTGAGTGTGCATGTGTTTGAGTGTGTATAAAAGTGTGCATGTGAGTGTGTGTATGTATGTATGGGAGTGTGTGCGTGTGTGTGTAGAATAGTTCACCCCAAAATAAAAATGTGCTCATTCTCAGGTCATCCAAGATTAGGATGAGTGTGTTTCTTTGTCAGGTTTGTAGAAATGTAGCACTGCATCAGTGTCTCAGCAATGGATGCTCTGCAGTGAATGGGTGCCGTCAGAATGAGAGCCCAAACAGCTGATAAAAACATCACAGTAATCCACAGCACTCCAGTCCATCAGTTAACATCTGGAGAAGACAAAAGCTGAAACACATCCAGCATTAAGACGCTTTCAACTCAAATACCATTGAGTCCATAACCCATAATAGCGCTTCCTCCAGTGAAAAAGTGCATCTGCTGTTGTCTCTCACATCAAAATCCAGCCACATATGTGTTTAGAGCTGTTTAAACGGTGCTTGATCTGTGCAGATTTCTCTCCTGATTCACACCAGAACACTGACTCACTGGAGGAAGAGTTATTATTGATTATAAACTCAATGTATTTGAGTTGAAAGCGTCTTAATGCTGGATGTGTTTCAGCTTTTGTCTTCTCCAGATGTTAACTGATGGACTGGAGTGCTGTGGATTATTGTGATGTTTTTATCAGCTGTTTGGGCTCTCATTCTGACGGCACCCATTCACTGCAGAGCATCCATTGCTGAGACGCTGATGCAATGCTACATTACAAATCTGACGAAGAAACAAACTCATCCTGATCTCGGATGCACATTTTCATCAAATGTTCTTTTTTTTGGTGAACTATTCCTTTAAATGCTGTGAAAATAATATTTAAAAATATTTGTTTTTTAAGGACATTTCTCATCATACTGTTATTCTTTAAATGTGCACCACACAGACAATGCATTTATCAAAACAGCAAATGTTTAATTCATGATAAATATCCCTGACCTGCTAAAGGACATCAGAACATCTCTCCTGTCCAATCATGCTCTTAAAATCAATACACATTACCCATAATGCATCACTTGCAGGTTTCTGAGACGACACACACCTGCTTCTCAGAGTCTCAATCAAGTGGCTCATTGTTGTACTTTATAATTAATTATCTGTAAGTGATTCAACCTTGAAACTCTAAAGCAGCATAATGCAGCAGTCCAGTGTGCTTTTCTTCAGCTTCATTATATTTAAAGGAAAGCCTTTAACACACACACACACACACACACTCAAGTGCACGTACCTCCACGTATAAGATAGGAAAAATCCCGATCTTATCTCCCAGCATGCCTTCTGCCCAGTTATCGTCCACTCTTCGTATGACGGTGAGAATCTCGTCCTGTGAGAGAGGAAATGCATGAAGTTTCACTGTTTTATTCTGCCGCTGTAGAAATGCATTGAGAAGAGTCACCGAGAGAATAAACACAGGTAAATCACATTTGAATATCTGAATGAGAAAAAAATCAACCAGTGCATATTAAATATTCAGATTTATTTGTGACCCTGGAGCACAAAAGCAGTGTTAAGTCGCTGGGGGATATTTGTAGCAATAGCCAACAATACATTGTATGGGTCACAATTATACATTTCTCTTTTATGACAAAAATCATTAGGATATTAAGTAAAGATCATGTTCCATGAAGATATTTAGTAAATGTCCTACCGTAAATATATCAAAACTTAATGTTTGATTAGTAATATGCATTGCTAAGAACTTCATTTGAACAACTTTAAAGATGATTTTCTCAATATTTAGATTTTTTTGCACCCTCAGATTCCAGATTTTCAAATATTGTGCTATCCTAACAAACCATACATCAATGGAAAGCTTATTTATTCAACCTTCAGATGATGCATAAATCTCATTTTCAAAAAATGGACCCTTATGACTGGTTTTGTGCTCCAGGGTCACATATTAGCAGTATAATCTCACTATGTGTGTGTAGAAAACTAAACAGTGTTTAGCTGACTTATTTAGCTGACTTATTTTCCTCACAATTGCATATTGTAAACTTTTATAACTTGTAAAATTTCTTATAACTTGCACATCACAATTCAGAATTTTTTCTCTGAGTTCTGAGTTTTATATCTCGGAATAAAACATTAAAAAGGTAACTGTGATTTCATCTGTAAAGCAGCTCGACAGAAGACAATAGTGTCAATTATTCAGATCAATTCAGTTTATTAACAGTGTTAATGTCACAAAATTCATCAATTTTGAAACAAATTCAGCTGTAAAGCAGCTCTAGAATTATTATAGTTAACAAAAGCTAAATTTGAAGCCATTACAAATTGTTATTGAAATAAAATAAATGTTAACTCGAACAAAAAAATTTTTTCTTTAGTTTAAGTTTAGTTGAATTTTAGACTAATTTAAACAATTTTGTTTAAATTGATGTACTAAATAACTAAAATGAAAAACTATACAGACAAAACAACTACTAAAAATGACAAAAACACAACAAAATTACTAAAACTTAAACTAAAATTAAAATGGAAAATAAAGAAATAAAAACTGATTCAAAATATGAATGAATCTATAATACTATTTTAATGATATTAGAATAACACAGCAGCTCTACAAAAGCTAATAGTGTTTATTCAGATCAATTCAGTGTTGATTCAGTTCAGTTCAGTAACAGTTGAACTTCAGTTGAATCAGACTAACTTACAGTGACTCTGAGCTTGAATCTGATTATCTGACCATCACACAGCATCTGTGCATTAATATCTGTATCTCTACGAATGTGATCATACAGAAGCCGAAGCAGCTGGACTTATATAAAGAACTCGTCTGAATCGATTCACATCAAGCTTCACTTCAGCGTGAGTCAAACGAGACTCAATCAAGCGTCTATTAATGAGTGTTTTAGCATGCAGATCTCTCTCTTCCTCTATGAAAGGACTTTCTTCTCTGTGTTTTCGGGACTCATCTTTCCGGTTCCTGCGTCTGGAGGACAGAGGCTGCTTGTGGCAGTAATGCATTCAGACGTCTGAACTCTGCAGCTGCGCGACACAGAACCCAGACACACATTCCGCCGTTATTCACTCTCTTATATCCCTCTCCCTCGGGAGAGAGGTGTTGTGATTATGTAATGTAATAATGTAAAATATGTGAAAAATAATGTGTTTTTCGAACAGCCTAGTATGAGAGCCTGTTCTAGTACACCCCCAAAACAAAATCAAGACTTTGTAAAAGAGCATAATAGGACCCCTTTAAGTCACAAACAATACAATACATACAACACACACAATATCACATCATAGTCAAGTCAATCACATATTTGATTTTCCTTAAGCCATACTTTAAGCGTAGTTTTAAAAATACTAAATGTTGTGCACTCTCTAATATAAACAGGTATTCAATTCCATCTTTCTGCTGCTCTAACTGAAAAAGCTGATTGTCCAAAAACAGTTTTCTTAAAGTGCCCCTATTATGCCATTTTTACGCTTCCTAATATTGTTTTGGGAGTCTCCTACAATAGGATTACATGCATGCAAGGTCAAAAAAACGCTTTCGTTTTCTCAAAATATGCATTTAATTTCACCTCATTTTCCAGCGATTCTCAAATGATTCGTTTGAAGCAGTTCAAAGATTCAGTCTCTCTAAACCCCTCCTTTCCGTGAGCCTGCTCTACTCTGATTGGTCAGATGGCCTAGTCTTTTGTGATTGGTCTACGGCGTACAATGCATTATGCAAATGTGTTACCCCGTGAGGTGTAGCCGTCACGGAAGTGGGATTTTCGAATACTAACGACTCGTTTCAGCTGTTCAGTGTCGATTCTTTATTTTGGTAGACAATAACCTTATTTATCGTGCACTTTCAGCTTTACAACTTTGCAGATCGTTTACATTCACATACAGCTACATTACACACTGCATGAAAGGCAATATTGGAAATGGCATAATAGGGGCACTTTAAATTTAGTTGGAGCAGTAACCTCTAACTGATGACCTAGTCTGCCTGATACTGTCCTTACAGAAAGTCACACATTGTTTAAGAGGTGGTGGTGCAAGATCATGAAATAGTTCCCCTCCTTTCTGTGAGCCTGCCCTACTCTGATTGGTCAGATGGCCTAGTCTTTTGTGATTGGTCTACGGCGTACAACGCATTATGCAAATGTGTTACCCCGTGAGGTGTAGCCGTCACGGAAGTGGGATTTTCGAATACTAACAACTCGGGCACTTTAAATTTAGTTGGAGCAGTAACCTCTAACTGATGACCTAGTCTGCCTGATACTATCCTTACAGAAAGTCACACATTGTTTAAGAGGTGGTGGTGCAAGATCATGAAATAGTTTGTACATCAAACACACATCAGCAAATAATAAAAAAAATGTCAAACGTCAACAATTTATCATTTTTAATAATATTGCAGTGATGATAACTCCTTGGCTTTTTAGCTAAGATTTTCACAGCTTGTTTATAAATAGTATATAATGGTTTTAACGTAGTTACACTTGTATGAGACCAACTTGTAGCACAGTAAGACTTTGCAGATCGTTTACATTCACATACAGCTACATTACACACTGCATGAAAGGCAATATTGGAAATGGCATAATAGGGGCACTTTAAATTTAGTTGGAGCAGTAACCTCTAACTGATGACCTAGTCTGCCTGATACTGTCCTTACAGAAAGTCACACATTGTTTAAGAGGTGGTGGTGCAAGATCATGAAATAGTTTGTACATCAAACACACATCAGCAAATAATAAAAAAATGTCAAACGTCAACAATTTATCATTTTTAATAATATTGCAGTGATGATAACTCCTTGGCTTTTTAGCTAAGATTTTCACAGCTTGTTTATAAATAGTATATAATGGTTTTAACGTAGTTACACTTGTATGAGACCAACTTGTAGCACAGTAAGATAAATGAGGGAGGATCATTGTATGCATAAAGTGTTTAGCAGCAGCCACAGGTAATTGGTGCCTAATATTCCTGAAGATCATCAAGCTTGCTCTAGTACTTTTAGAGGTCTTTTTAATATGTTTTTTAAAATTAATTTAGAATCCATAATCATACCCAAATATTTAAAATGCTTAACAATATTTATTACCTCTCCTTTAACTAAAATATCTGGACAACGCTCATCAACTTTCTTGATTGAAAAAAACATTCCCACAGTTTTACTCACATTAAGAGTAAGGCAAGAATGACATATGTGAGACTTTGCTCAATGCAGCAGTAAGTTTGATAGCAGCTTGTTCTTTTGTCTTAGCATAAGTATAAACAACTGTATCATCTGCATACATTTGAATCTGGACCACTGGACAAACTGTAGGCAGATCATTAATGTATAAGCTGAACAAAATTGGTCCAAGAATCGACCCCTGTGGGACTCCAATATTACAGTCAAGAAATGGTGAGCAAGCATCATTAATTTGTGTACATTATTTTCTTAAATTTAAGTATGACTCCATTAGGACTGCACAATTATTCAAATTTCTAATCGCAATTACAATTACGGATGCCACAATTACATAATCGTTCAAAGCAGCAATTAATCATCCAAAGTCCACTTATGTTATTCTGCATGCTTAAGATGTGTTTTTCTTTCTACATGTTAGGTAGGGTTTTTCCATTGTTTTAATTTTAGTTTTAGTATAAAATTATAATACCATGCACATTTTTACCTTTTTATTTAAAGAGAAACCAATCCGATGTATAGTTGACATTTGAGGCTTAATACTATAGAAAAGTTTTAATATAATATTTAATATAATATATATTTTAATATAAAATATGGCATGCAGTTGCTTCAAACAAAGGTGTAAACATCATTAATTTAATCGTAAACTGCATACAATGTAATGGAAAATGGATTTAAATGCTCTACTAACTGATTGCAAACGACCTTTTCAATTACTTTAGAAACAACTGGTAGAATACTGATAGGTCTGTAGTTAATTACATTAGCAGGATCACCAGTCTTAAATATAGGTCCTATTACTGCTGACTTCCAGGCACTTGGAAAATGACATTGTTTTATTGACAAATTAACCAGATGAGTTATAGATGTACTAAGAACATTTGCATACATTTTAACAAATACAGTCGCAATCAAAAACATCTTTGGCCATAGAACTCTTAAGCTGGCTTAAAATGTGTATTATATAGGACTCAGATACTTCAGAAATATGAAAAGTAATAATGTAAAATATGTGAAAAATAATGTGTTTTTCGAACAGCCTAGTGTGAGAGCCTGTTCTAGTACACGCCCAAAACAAAAACAAGACTTGTTTTTGAGCATAATAGGACCCCTTTAAGTCACAAACAATACAATACATACAACACACACAATATCACATCATAGTCAAGTCAATCACATAT